AGTTATTAGGGACACGTCAGGCTGAGGTGAGAACAGAAAAGTCTGACTTCAGAGTTTAGAGACTCCTTGTGAATATTGCCCCTGATCAGAGGGGGCTAACTTTGAATTCTACATTGAACCTAGAAAGAAAAAAATATCCACAGCAACCAGCCTTCTGGTCACCTACCCAGCAAGCCAGGAGAAGTTTGGGGTTTAAAACCTGCTACCAGCACTATCTCCTCCGTGAGTGAAACACCTGAATAAATGCGTTACCTCTAGGTTTACTTTTCTGGAGTGATGAGATATTATCTTCAAATAAAGATGATAGATAAAGGTTAAAATAATAGGAAATACTGAACTTCTAAGAGAGCCAGCCTTAATAGTCTCCATCAACTGGCAGCGTTCCCAGTAATGTTTCAATAACTGTGATGGAACTCATACACATAATTATCCTTTCTTCTTAACAGAGCTAAACGTCACACTCATCTATGTCCCTAATGGGACTGCCACTGCACATCCAGTTAAAAAGTCATGTTTCTTACTGTCTTTTGAAAAATAATACTAAGGCACAAAACTTTTGTTGTCAGGGGTTCTACTGGCCGCTTAAAAGAGCCTTGACATGTGACTGAGAGTTATGTGAGTAAGTACAAACAGTTGAGAATTGCAGAGAGGGCTTCTCCCAGCCGGAAGCATCTCATAGATAATGTAATGTATTAAAGATCATCGATAAACAAAAGCTGCCTTCCCCACATGGAAGAGGTCCTGTCGTATGACTCATCCCAACATGGGGACAGCAGTGCTCCCAGTAGTCCATGTAGGATGTACTACCTACCCTCTAAGGATACCAGGCTTAGCAAATGAGGATGTCCCGAATCTGAGGTCCTGTCAGACTCCAGTGGGTAATGTAATAACTGGCTTTGTCATTGCTGAACTATTAGCAGCTTCCTGAATGTTCACCTTAAATTGCACTAACTGTTTAAGTGCCTGCAGAGGTTGGGTTCTCATAGTACCATACCGGGGACCTTACCAATAACTTTGAAAACATCACTCTCTCTGAATGTCGAATCGACCAGGCTCCTTTCACTTTTCCCTCCAGCCTCTCCAGAGCAGAGTCTGGGAATCAGAATAAATATAGGGTCCAGGCAGGGAAAAGCATCATCCCACAAGTTTAAGAGCATCTCAGGTACAATAGATGGTCACAAATGGCAGACTGAAGAAATCCATTAATGGGTCAAATATCAGAAACAGACGGAAACCTGGCAGTTTTGCCCTGGAACCCGCTGCAGCTCATGGTGGCAACTGGTAGACCTTCAGAGGCGGCTAACTAGAAGTAAGTTAAGCAAATAAACAAAGGGAAAAGATTTGAATTTGTAACTCCATTTTTATTAGCGAAAAGTATTCCAAGCCAGTCTTATCTCTAGGATATTCAAAAGATAATATGTACATAAATACTACCGCACAGGTGCTTTTGAAATGGGAACGTGTTCTACCTTCTGCGTGGCTGATATGATGCTGTTTCAAACTCCGTAAAAACAATATATAGGGCTTGTTTTGACAAATACGCCCATGTGTTGTGCACAGTTTGATTTATGTAAACTCATTTCAGATGCAACTGCAGAATTCCTCCTAAACAGATGAAAAATGTCAGTTGAAAGTGATGAAAATATATGTGTGTAGCAAGATACAGTTTTAAGAAAAGAGTTTTGTGTGATATGGATTTGTATCTATTTCACAAAATACGCTTTTTAAAAATCTTCTGGAGTTGATTTTTTTTCACATTAATGCATCAATTCAGGCATTTTCCTAAAATGAGAGTGAGTGTTGTGTCACAACCACCCTTCTGTGTTGCGAGGCGGCGGAGCTGGGACCGGTGCCTGGGGGCCAGGGGCGGTGTCACTTAGGTGCCGACTCTTCACGTATTCCCCAGTTGCAGCAATCACATCCAGCCCACCAGCTCATCGGCACAGCTCGCCAAGGCCGAAACGGCCCGCCCTGGTTCCCACTCACCCCGCATCCGTCCTCGGCTCGGTTTGGCCGTGAACTCCAACATGGCCCGGCCTGTGTGCGTCTGCACGTCCTTCCCAGCTCAGCAGTCTGCACTCTTCCTCCTCCCCTCTTCCCTCAGGCTGTCTTCATACATGCACACCCCACGCACACACACACCACACACACACACACTATCATACACACACACGCTATCACACACACACACAATCCTACACGCACACACACACCACATGCACACATACACTATCATACACACACTATCATACACACACACAATCATACACACACACACCACACATGCACACACTATCACACACACACACATCACACACACACACCACACACACCATACACACACCACACACACACATATCACACACACACTATCATACACACATCACACTCACATGTACACACCACACACACGCACACTATCATACACACACGCGCACACACACACTATCATACACACACATCACACATGCACACACCACACACACTATCATACATGCACACATCACACACACATCACAAACACCATACACGCGCACACCACACATGCACATATCACACACACACTATCATACACATCACACACACACATATCACACACATGCACACATCACACATGCACACATCACACACGCACACATCTCACACAACACACACACTATCATACACACATGCACACATCACACACCACACACTATCATACACGCATACATCACACACACCACATGCACACATCACACACACACGCACACACAATCATACATGCACACATCACACAAACGCACACTATCATACATGCACACATCACACACACACACTATCATACACACACACTATCATACACACACACATCACACACGCACACACCACACACATCACACACACCACACACACGCACACATCACACACACGCACACATCACACACACATCACACACACACTATCACACACACACCACACACACATCACACACACACTATCACACACACTCACACACATCACAAACACCATACACACATCACACACACACCATGCACACACACACACACATCACAAACACCATACACACACACATCACACCCCACGCGCACACCCCACACACGCACACGCACACAAGCCCTGCACTTTTGTAGGGTTTCTCTATTAGGAATTTAACTTGTCTTCCGAATCATGGTAACGTATTTCCTAGGATGGTTATTGCTTTTGTTAGCGTTCTTGTTACATGAATATTGAGTAGGTCTGTCTTCTTCATAAGCCTGTAATGTTACTCTGCGATTTGGCAGATGAAGCCAGGAGTGTGTTGCTCTCATTACAGAGAAGCATCTGTGCTTGCACTCTGCTTATTAATTGCACTTATAGAATAACTGAATCGGGGGCGCCCCTCATGTTTCCGAGGTACACAGACTGGGATCTCATTTGCCTACTGATTTATCTACTTAATTTCACCTTCACCAAGTAAAACCAGCCCCAGGTGTACATTGCATCGCCCCACTGAAAGTAACCTTCCTGTCTTTATTTCCTTCTAGGAAATGACTGAAAATCTTTCCACAGCAAAAGCACTTCATAAAGACTTAACTTGCTTCCACTGGAGCTTGTTTTTTGTTTGTTTTTCTTTTGTGTGTGTGGTTTTTTTTAATGATTAGCATATGGTTTGGGTACATGTAAGAAACTGACCCTTATTCTACACATACACACACACACACACACACACACACACAGATACACAGACACACACACACACACACACAGAGACAGACACACACACACACACCGCCCTCCTGTAAGTTTGTGGTTAGTGTTTAAATCTCACACTCAGCATGCTCTGAAATCTTAAATTCCATCAGGTCGACTTGTAGGAAGTCAGGGGTTTTAAATGTGGCAGATTTGAAATTCCAAGAGAGAAGTCCCTGCTCACAGCAGGTCCTACAACACGCTACTTCAATTAGCTCAGAAGCAAATGGAGATTTTTCAAAGGCATCTCTTATCTTCCTTCCACAAAACAGATATGTATCTTTTGTTTTAGAAAAGAACTAATTCTTTGCTGTTATTCCCACAAAACTATATATTTATTTGGTGTCAACATGCGTGAGTTTTTTAGGACACTAGTGGTGAGCTTGGAATGGAGTTTTCTGAGAGCAAGCCACAGTCTCTCCTGCATGAGCCACGCGGTGGTGAGAAAGCTGAACAAAGCTGTTTTTCTAGGAGCTCACAGAAGGTGATGACAGGGACACTGCAGCACGCTCTCCGGTGGTGACACACACAGAGCAGAGGCACAACTGTGTCAAAGGGTGTGTGTTACCCTACACAATCAGAAAAATGCCTCATGGGTTTTCTTGTTTTGTCTTTCCATTGTGTGTGTGTGTGTGTGTGTGTGTGTGTGTGTGTGTGTGTGTGTGTGAGACGTGCTATTGAGTTGGCTGTGACTCCTGGTGACTCTATGAATGAGTAATGCCTCCATGCCCCATCCTCACAGCCGTGCTCAGCTCCTGCAGACTCAGCCTAGGGCTTCTGTTATTGAGTTCATCACCTAATAATTGGTCTTCCTTTTTTCTTGCTGCCTTCTGTTTTCCCAGTATTATTCTTTTCCAGGAAACCCTGTGTCCTCATGAGGTGCCCAAAGTAGGATACCTTCAGTGTTGTCATTTTTGTCACCGGCGACATTTCAGGCTTAATTTGCTCTAAGGACCCACTTATTTCTCTGAACTGAAACACAGATTCTTTTTAAAAGAATCGCTCAACAGGGTGATGGACTGTTCCATACCTTGGTCTTCATGGGGGATGGATTATACCAAATTCATGAGGCGGTAGACTTACAACTGGCACATTTTGCCGTCTATAAATCACACCTCAAATTTTAACCCATCAAAACTTAGGATGCTACTTCCCTTCTCCCCTTTACTTTAGAAAAAAAATTAACCTCCTCCCTTTGATGCCTGGGGAAACAATAAGTATGTTACAAAAAGAAACCTCCCACAATAATTATTTTCTATCTTCTCTTCCAGCTGTGAGTCCAGATTTTTCGAGAACCCTCTTAAAAAGGGTGACTCTTGTCAAAGTGGGAGGTGAAGTGGTCATTGAGTGTAAGCCAAAAGCCTCTCCGAAACCTGTCTACACCTGGAAGAGAGGAAGGGACATGCTAAGAGAAAACGAAAGGTACGCTCTTGAAATGTTTTTAATATTTGATTAGCCTGTAATAATTTCTTGGTGTGTTATTAATGGTTCTCTGCTATTTGCGGACTAAATGTGAGTCAAAGAGCTGAAGCTTTGGGAAAGGGTGGTAAATTAATTGGTCTTTATAATCCTTGGTATTAAGATGCTGCAAAGCCCTCCCTGCAGAGGTCATGTGATCTGTGCTAAAGCCGCTAGAGCTGCCCAAAGATGAGTGCCCAAAAATGTGCTTCTTAATTTTAGCCTAAAATTTATTTGTAGAAATGCCCACTTTTCTCCATCCTACTTCTTTTTTGTGCGTAAACAAATAAATCCAATTCTTCTTGGCTATGACAACCCTCCAGTGTTTGGTAATGGCTGTTATGCCTCTTTTTCGTCTTTCCTTCTTTCCTTTTTTGAAGCTAAATATCTCTATTTCCAAAACCCATTCTGCAAACAACATGATTTTAATCACATCTTGGTGAAATAACAGTTTTTTTCTCACTGATAACTACACTTTTCACCTGTGTGTTTCTTATTATACTTGAATTACATTTAGAAAGACTATTTATTATATATTATATATATATATATGTGTGTGTGTATAGATATAGACATAGATATAGATATAGATATAGATATAGATATAGATATAGATATAGATATAGATATAGATATAGATATAGATGGGTTGTTTGGGGCTTTAGGCCAGATTGCACCAAACAGCAGCTATCTCTAAGAACTTTTCTTAGCTGGCACCCCTATAAAATGCCCCCCACCCCTTTCTGTAATCTACTCAGTCTACTGGAAAATGGTAATTATGCATAAGTCTGTGTCGCCCATAACATTCACCAGCTGTATACATAATGATTTTAATTGATGCTAAAGGTCAGGCGCTTGACTCAATGGGAAGCCTGTGAAGGTGTGCTTCCGCCTGTACGCCTTCGGATTTGCGTGTGCAAATGAGACCGTTGCACTGGCGGGTGTCCTTATTAGTTATTTTGCAAACAAACCTGGTATGGTTTATAGATGGTATAGCCACACACGTAGTAAATTCATAACGTACATTCCTTTCTGATTTCTGCTACATCAAGAAAGCAGTGTATACGTCACTAAATATGGGCATGGCATTCAAATTTGGAGCCATACCTGAGCAGAATTTCTTATTTTGCAGCCTTAACCATCAGATTCCTTTCCTATTTTACCTCCGTGTGTCCCATAATGCAATATGTGAGATTACTTTTAATAGTTACGCATTTATTTTGAGGTGTATTGAAATATAATTGAAATGGAACTAGTATGTACCACGGGTATTGCTTAGACTAAGGCTATATTTTGGAAGTTTTCATTCGAGGACGATATAAAGGAAATGTATTTTTTTAAATCATCTGGATGATAGACAGACATGCAAAAAGCCGTGAGTGAATGAAGTGAGAGTAGCACGGTGGCCCCATCCAGGAGACGCTCAGCTCTGCTACTGTCGCAAACACCATTGGCCTAAAACAAGGAAAGACACTTTCCTGTCACACTGCATGGCCGCCCGCCAGGGGTCAGCTTCTCTGCCCTCTACAGCCAAGGCTAGGGGCGTAGCACACTCTGGAACACTGGGCTCGCAGAAGGGAGAGAGAGTGGCTCCACGCCCGGGTGGCTAATGCTGTGGCCCAGCCGTGGACACGTCACTTTCATTCGCGTGTCCTTGGCCCACACAAGCCCCATGGCTCTGCCCAAGTTCAGCCCAGCAGGGAAATGCAATCTTACGGTGTGCCTAGGAGACAAGAGACATGCTTACATCTGAACGCTGTTTACGACGGCTTACCTCTGCTGCAACTTAACCACTGTTCCAAGTTGGTTAACTTACCTTTGGGAAAATGGTTTATCAATAGCAAGAATCCTATTTGATAAGTGAGTTTCATTGACTGTTTCTACCACTGGACTCACCACAAAAGCTTGTCTCTCTGCATGTTGCGTTCTTTCTACTCCTGATTTGATTCATAGGGTTCAGAGATGGCTTCAACATTTCTATGGCACTAAAGACAAATGTAAACCGAGGAAACCCCCCGCCATTCCTCCAGTCTTGCTGTTTGTCACCTGTGCCTCCAGTGTCACCAGGCTTGACCCGAACTGTCAGTATCAGCCCATCATTCTTCACGCGGGTGCTGTATTCTCACAGTTCTGTTCCCCCCTTCAGCCTCCCTCGGAAGGTATTATGCAGACGGATTGATTTCGGGAATGTAAGTGAATGCAAACGCTTGCCAAAGGTGATATAAAGCAGAGAGGTGGGACTTGAGCATGCACTCCGTCCAGGGCAGACACCTGCCACTCTATTCGAGCACATGGCTGCCGTATGTACATACAGGTCACGTGCCTTCCCCTCTTCTCATTTGGAAAGAGAAGCTAGAAAGCTGGGCTTTTATCCAAACTATCTTAATTTTTAAGTGTCAGCACCTAATATTTTTTATTTTAATGTTAGTACAATATGAGTCCCACCTCCATGGCCCGAGTATACTCCATGGACCACTGTTTTTTCGTGTGTTTCTTTTAACTTTGGAGAAAGATATAAGTTCAATGGAACATCTCGTAATTTCTGAAAAGGGGGAAAAAATAGCAAAGATTTTACTATTATTGCTTCATTGACAGAAAAAACATTCCGCCATTTTTCTCTTTTTTTTCCCTCTGATAAAGGAGAAACAATTAAGTAGATAAGTGAGCAAAAGTCATCATACATAGGACTCATGAGTGAAAACTTTCAGGATTCCTATTTTAGGAAAAGACTGACACTGGTAGACGGACGCAAAAGGCAAACGCCTTTGTGCCCAGTGTTGACTAGTGGTGTCTAATCCACTGATTTGTCAGCCTTAATTGTCTTTTGAAGTGTGGAATCTTAAGAATCAACAGGCAAATCTTTTACATTTGAATAACAAAAATTAATCTCATAAGTACCAAATACTGGTCTAAACAAAGTTTTGCTGAAGCAAAGTTGTATGCTCCCTAAAGTCTATGGTTTGAAAGACTTTGCCAAACACTACTTATTAAGTGATATTTAATTTCAATTCTAACTAATTGCTTACAAAAGAGTTTACAATAAAATTATAAGAAGCAACATTTAAAACATTGAAAAGTTTTTTAATCTCATTTAATCATATGGTGACATTATAGTTATTTTGGTGGCTATAGGTTCAACAATGCTGGTCTCATGTGAACATGGGGACTATTAAAAGTATACTTGTATGTACTTATTTTGGTTTTTCAAGCATTTAGAAATTTAAATCATATTCACACCGGCCGTATCCATAGTAAGCCAAGCATTTAATGAAAGATTTAATCTTCATTTTTTATAGCTTTGTTATTGTGTAGGCAGCATATCTCTATAAATAAAACATGTCTTGTTTTCTTGTATGCTCACCAGCAGGCAGAGTGTGTGCAATGTCAGACATTTAGAATAGGGAGGACCTGTCACAAAGCACAAGTACTTTAGGTCTCAGGAGAGGCCTCTAGTCACCATCAAAGCAATAAAATCATTGGGATTAATTGAGCAATGAAGCCCACTAACTGAATAAGGCTGATAAGTTTGTTTACTGTTGGTTTCTAAACAGAAGGCCTTGAGGCAGATGAAACTGAAGTTGATGTATTAGAAACAAAAACATCAGAATAAAGGAAGAGCCAGAATCCTTAATGACAACCTAGAATCCTAGAAGATAAGGAGACATAAAACCATGTATCAACTGGGATGGCCTCATAGTTGCAGGTGACTGAGACCCAACTCAGAACTGGCTTCAGTACAAAAGGGGGTTCTTTGGCCCCCATCTTCAAGGAGGCCAGGGGTGGCTTGTGATTTAGGGTATGAGGAGGAGACCAGGGGTGGCTTGTGACTTAAGGTGTGACAGGGTTCCGGTGTCATCAGGCTGTCATCAGAGCTCCATCTCACTCTGTGTGCCTCTCTGCAGCACTGTCTTCTGGGCTGACTCAGTTTCCCACGGGCTCTCCCCTCCGGGGGGGCAGGAGGGCTGCCAGCAGCCCCAGACTCGCTCTCCTTTCTAACCTCTTACAGCAATGGCAGAAGAGACGGCCATGGAACCTGCCTTAGCGTCCTTCCCTGAACCAGTCACATTCAAGGGGGATGCGATGCACTGAATAGGGGGGCGTGAGTCACGTGCTTCTCCCAAGAGGCACGTGGATCACTCCACCTCAGACCACATGGACTGACGATGGGACAAAATTCAGCCTTCCAAATTCTGAATTTTGAAATCCCCAAAATTCAAAAGGAGAATGAATGCAAGCTAGGCAGAATGTGACCATTCCTGCTGTGTCACAAAGCCTAGCGCTCATTCCAGGACAGGGACCCATCCCCTCAACGGCTGGACCCTGTTCCATCATCCCCGGTTACGCCTGAGATGCACACCTAACGAAATTGTTCAATTATTTCTGCATAGCCTCTGTCTTTGTAACTTCCACTATTGTTTTTTCTCTGCCCTCTGAAGTTATACTAACAAAGCCAGTTCTTCGACACTGTCCCCTTCCCAAGGTTCTCCTCCTGTCCCTTTCACTTCTCTGCCATGCCCAGATGTCCCTGGTGTTCTTCCTGTGACGTCATTTGACATCCTTTCACTGTCCCGATCATTTCCTTCAGGGTCTTCCTGGCAAAATTGAAAATAATTAAAAATAAGGAAATAAGGAGCTTTATTTATCTCTGTGGCAAAGGATGATAATTATTGTTACATTCTACCCCTGAAGAGGATAAATTATCTTCAGAGAGCTTAGATCACTAAAGCAGTAAATGTACAGCATGGAAAGACCACTCCCTCCCAAGGGTTATTTTTAAAAAGTAACTTAGTGCTTCAAGGGATAAATCTAGTTATCTGGAAAATGTACTTAGAAAAAATATTTTACTTCTCACTGAAGCTGAAGAAATGAGTCAAGTGTTGCTCTAGTTTAATTTAATTTAATTTCTTTTTCAGAAAAATAATTACCTTTGCTTTTTTTTTTTAATTAGTTTCAGGTGTACAACA